ATATTATAAAGCACAGTGTAAAGCACAGTTTTGTACACATCAGATTAACCTGAACCGTATATACAGTGTGACATTGAGAAGAGTTTACCAGGTCCTGGGACATCTCTTCTATCTTAGTGATAAGGTCTGTGAAAAACTCAGTCATGTCTTTCTGTTCACCAGTGTTGAGAGGCTGTTTGTCCATTGTATAGGTTTTACAAAATGGTCGAGGGTTGTATGTCTTCCGCTCACTCTCCTGAACAGACATAAAGAAAGAAATGGCAACAGAAATACAAATGTCAGCCACAAAAGGACACAGGACTTGTTATATCACTTCTGACATACAGCTAATGGACAGCAGTTTGCTTTTTACAGCTACAAACATAGATCTAGTCCACACAGTTGTTTATGTAATTACTCCCAACAAAGACCACTGAATCGCACTAGACACTAAATCAAATCAACTTTATTTATAAAGCGCTTTAAAACAGTGGCCGCTGACACAAAGTGCTGTACATGAGGGGCCAAAAACAATAAAACAAATCAACACTAAAAACACAARGTAAGACTGAGTCACTGGCACATTAGACATCAAACCATCCCTCCGTGTGTGTGACCAGTTGCTCTTGGGATGGAGCCARTCAGGGACAGGGAGGCACTTTTGGTGGGTTGCCAGAACCAGAGTATAGTCTGATTCAGGTAACAGGGAAATCTGCACTGGATAAACAAGCTGTTGTAGGAAGGAAAACCAATAAATGAACTAAACACATTCTTCAAAACAATTAGCTCAGAAATATGCTCATCTTCCTCCTCTCCTGCCCCCAGCCATTCGGTGCACTGGACGCATTAGCTTATCCTTGGCCAAGGGTCCTGCTCAACAATTTTCCACCACTTCCATTGATTTGGCGCACTCTTTAGAAAGTTCTCAGGGAGAGCAACAGGTTATTGCTGGTGGCTCCGAATTGGCCAGCACAACAATGGTTCCGACTTCTACAGAGTCTGTGCTGCCACGTCCCGTGGTGTCTTCCAACCAGGAGGGACCTGCTGTCTCAGTTGGGGGTGGGGGTGGGGGGGCAGATAAAGCACCTGAGTCCTCAATGTTTCCRGCTGTGGGTGTGGCTGCTGGAGGGCTTGGGCTACAACTAACTGGGTACTCTGATTCTGACAGATACACAATTTTAAGCACGAGGGCGCAGTCTACTCGACAACAGTATGCAAACAGGTGGCATCTGCTCTCCCATTGGTGTTCAGCCCGTAATGTGGATCTGGTTTCCTGTACAGTAACTGATCCTGGAGTTCCTCCTGTCTCTCCTTGATAAGGGCCGCTCTCCCTCAATGCTTAAAGTGTATGTGGGGTAGGGTTGGGCATAATCGTATCATGTGCAATTAATCGTCAGAAAAATATTAATCGATTATTTTTTGGCACTTGATGATTAATACAATTAATGCCACCAGGCAGAGTCTGCTCGGTGCGCCTCTCCGCTTCAAATATGATGCATATAAAAAAAAGTTCTGGCCGTTTGAACCCCTGACCATGGCTCCTGATTGCCACGGTCGGAGCGCTGTCAGGGGGTGGCTGTCGRGGTTTGGCGGGCGGTCGGCCGGGTGCGGGGGTGGTCGGGGGTATGGCCTCCCCGCGGCGGCGGCGGCGGGGGGTGGGGGAGGTGTCGGACCTTGGATGTTGGCTCCTCTCCACCCCATATAGAATGGGTCTACTTCCCGGGTTTGGATATGGACTGCCCCCTGCGGGGGGGCGGGAACATGTCTTGAACCTGGGGGGGATAGTGTATGTATCGGGAGCGTGATTGGATTGTGTTGTTATTGTATGTCTTTGAGTGAATGGTTCTATGAATCCCGGACGACGAAGATTCCGAAGGAGCAAAGCCTCGGATGTTACCAGCCTATATTGCTTCAAGTTATCCATCCGACGAATCACAGCTGTGACTTTTTGATATTATTTACTCAAATGGTGCATGCGGGAAGGGAACATTCAGTGCTTTCAGCACCGCCCTCTGGCGGTCATCCGGGATTCATAGAACCGTAGTTACATGTTGTACATAACTTTCATTTTATGGGAAACATTTCCCACTTTTACCAAGCAGAAAAAGGAAGCTTGCTGTAAAACTTAAAAGAGATAAACTTGGATTATGAGATATTCTGTAATAAGCTGAACACACTTTATGAATGTAAAACTTACCATGAGATATGTGAACATCTTCTGCAGCTCCAGAAGTGTGGTTTTGTGTTTGATCTCTTCAGAGTACTGCAAACACACATTGACACAGTGGATGAGGACTTGCTCTTTGATTTAAATATGTTTATTTCCTGACACGCTTTGAGTGCTTTCTGAGCTGTAGTTAATGACCTTAGCTGTGAAGACAGCCTGCCGGGCCTCCGGGATCATGTAGAGCTGCTGGATGGTAGAAGCTAGGTAGCAGGTTGCACCCAAGTTGGTCAGACCCACAAAGCGGCACTCAGCCCTGACATCATCGTGGGGCCAGTAGTCCCACTTGTACGGAGCATGAGAGGCTGGAAAACAACATTAAAGGAAAATTTGGGTGTTCGTTAGCTTCTCTAGTGCATCATGTGGCAGTTTTACCCCCCTAGATCTCTCTGTTTGTGAAGCATGAAGATTTTCTTATGTATCATTCTGAAACTTCTTGATGATCTTTTAGTGAATAATCAGAGGTACTTCAAAATGTCCTAGTTTGAGATTTAAAAAATCAATGTACGATTAATTGTCAAATAATGGTTTATTAGATTAAAATTGGAGTCCTCCCAGAAGAGCTGGAGGAGGTGGCCGGGGAAGAAAGGTCTGGGCTTCCCCGCTCAAGCTGGTGCCCCCYGACCCGACTTCGGATAAAGCAAAAGATACTGGTTGGATGGATGGTTTAAAATCCGTATCATTTCATTACCTTATATTGGTCACTTCAATGGACCATAAGGATATGCTTGTTAGGTCCCTGTATGGCCGGTGCCAGAGCTTGGTCCGCATTGTCAGTAGTAAGTCGGACTCGTTTCCGGTGAGAGTTGGACTCCTCCAAGGTTGCCCTTTGTCATCGATTCTGTTCATAACTTTTATGGACAGAAATTCTAGGTGCAGCCGCTGTGTTGAGGGAATCCGTTATGGTGACCATAGGATCGCATCTCTGCTTTTTGCGGATGATGTGGTCCTATTGGCTTCATCAGATCGTGATCTCCAGCTCTCACTGGAGCCGTTTGCAGCCGAGTGTGAAGCGGCCAGGATGAGGATCAGTACCTCCAAATACGAGACTATGGTCTTGTGCCAGAAAAGGGTAGATTGCCTTCTTCGGGTTGGGCAGGAGGTCCTGCCCCAAGTGGAGGAGTATCTCGGGGTCTTGTTCACTAATGAGGGAAGAATGGAGCGGCAGATCGACAGGCAGATTGGTGCTGCGTCTGCAGTGATGCGGGCGCTGTACCAGTCTGTTGTGGTGAAGAGAGCTGAGCCAGAAGGCAAAGCTCTCGGTTTACCGGTTGGTCTACATTCCTATCCTCATCTATGGTCACGAGCTTTGGGTAGTGACCGAAAGAGCGAGATCACGGAGACAAGCGGCCGAAATGAGTTTCTTCCGCAGGGTGTCTGGGTTCTCCCTCAGAGATAAGGTGAGAAGCTCAGTCATCCAGGAGGGACTCAGAGTAGAGCCACTGCTCCTCCATGTCGAGAGGAGCCAGTTGAGGTGGCTCGGGCATCTGGTTAGGATGCCTCCTGGATGCCTCCCTGGTGAGGTGTTCCGGGCAC